TAAGAATATCGTGTAGATGATAAAATACTAATCGAAATTTGTGTAATCATCCACGCCAACAATTAAATGAAGTACACACATTTTTTTCACAATTACTCATAATTACGTTTTTTAAACCAACATATTCATGATATTCCGTACTTGTTGTTTATGAATCTGCCTTCGTGTGGAAAATTTTTTGTGCAATTTCAGGGGTGAGGAAAATCAGGTCTAAATAAATTTGTACCAGTTTTTTGACATTAACAGTTGAAAGGTTTACCGGTTTAATCAAAGAATGATTTCAACTTTCGAAAAACAAAACTTTTAACGAATATGTGATGTTTTTTTACTGAATAAGTTTCGCTCTTTTTAAATCAAAATATTGCGAAACAATAGGCTAAATTTATTAAACAATTAGCATGCGGAAATGAACTTGTATTAATTATAATAATGATAATTGTCCTTTGTGAGTATTTAAATTGTTGAATACTTTTCTCTTCGTAAAGATACAAAGAAACGTTGTTGGTTCATTCGTTGTGTAATTTTTAATGGCCAAATTCAATATTTCCGGCCGACACTATGAATTATCTTGACATCTTTCTTTCGGAATCGAGGTAGTAGCAGTTTAGAAATCACAAAAAACTAAAGGTGTTTGAACTTTTAATGCCTCTCAAGCACAACATCTACAGTGTAATTACTAAACGCGCGGTCCTCGATATCTTATTACTTATTAGAGATAGACTTTGAGGACTGCACTCTGAAAATTATTTTTAGTATGCAGAGTGTTCTATTTTTAAAGCGTAACACACAATTTATTTTTTTTTTAATGAGATACCCTTTATATTATTACTTTTGAAATGCCGATGCGATGTTGCCAAGTTATTTCATTTTTTTTTAATTTTTGGCCAATGGAAGGGTTCACAAAAAATCGCAATAGGGTTATTATTAAAGTCTGTGTTACAATACTCTGTGGAAGGATAAATAAAGGTACGGGTTTTGTTAATGAAATATAGGTGTTCTATCCTAAAAAAATGAAAAATGGATTTTTGAAAATTGTAACAATTTAAACATTTTTTGTAAACACTGTATACCACAATTTAATCTCATTTACACCACAACAAACTTCGCACCTTTCTTTATTTCGCCACAAATGTTGTAACACAAATTTTAAAAATAACCCGACTATGATTTTTTAATGAACCATTTTCCATTGCTAAAAAATTTTGAGATAAATTGGGAGAACGTGGCAACGTCGCATCCGAATTTCAAAAGAAAACTGAAAATAAATGTATAATCTATTTCATTAAAAAAAAACTGATTTGTATTACGCCTTAAAAACAGAACACTCATCTGTATAGTTAAAAATAATTAATGAGATATCGAGGAACGCGCTTTTAGTCACTTACCCTGTATTTAATAATATTTGTAACCGACGTCATCACTTTTTCAATGGAAGTAAATACTTAACATTAATTTGGACGTGTACAGTGATAATATTCTACCACAAACGGTAGATATAAAAACCCAGAATGTTGGGAAAGTTTGACAAGACGTTTCGAAGTAATCGATAACATAAATCGCTTTGTATATTTCTTTTGAATCATCTGAAATTCACACTACTAAACCACAAATAACATGTCATATCATCGTTCGGTCGTATTGTTACGATATGACGTCATCCAATTAGTAGAGGGGATGAATATTTCAAAGAAATCTATATGCATATGCGTAAAATTAAGTGAGTGGAGAATAAATCAGTACAAATATACAACTAAAGTAATATTTTTCGTCTTCACAAACTTTAGATATTCATGAAAATTATTCTATTACAGCATTTTTCCTAGTTTTGTAAAATAAAAAAATTGTGCTTATTACGTGAGGAAATTCTAATTTTTACACTTGCGTGTTTAAATGGTAACACTGAAATATGTGATTACGTTCCTCAGCATTTTATGGATTAAGTATCAACTAATATTTTTTATTACATTACATAACATACCGGCAACTATTAAAGCTAAGGAACTGCTCGTGAGTTGCGTTTAGACAGTAATTAACCGGCTATATATCAAAGTTTGATAATATACTGTATGTTGGAAGCTAAATTAGTAATTTTTAATATAATTAAACGAGACAGTTTTGGCAATGAAACCGATAACTGCAATAAAACTTTCACAATTAAAACCACTACAATCTGCACAAGGAGTGATCGATGTGGAATAGGATATTTCTCCAGGAAATTTACGAAACAGTTGCTTGTAGCAATGAAATATTAACACATGTACAACCTACGTACAACTTTATTAAAGTATGATTAAATATTAGTTGTTAAAAATTTTACGACATTACTTGACCTCCAATACTTAATTTTTCTTCAGGCTATCCGCTCGAATCTAGCACCCACAATTAAATTAACACTGATCCTTACAATTACAAAACACCATTACAAAAGATTGCATAACACCGACTGTTGGTGGTCCAGTTCGCATTTTTTTCCAACTCAAACCTAAACTTACCATAACTTGGAAAGTTTCGAGTATTTACTTTTCTTTCAATCAAACTTTCCTCTCTTTCCACAAAGTCATCAATTTCTCCACTTCATAACCATAAAGTCGCAGACAAAGAAACGGAATTGTGGGTTTTAAATTAACAGTTCAAAGAATGCATTCGAAGCACCAGACCGGATAGAACCGACAAGCAACAAGGAAAAAGGATAAATAGGCACGAGTCTAATGTGATGATAAATGCTTAACTTGTGATAATCTGCGATGCGTTGTGCCCTTGACTTTGAATGCCGTCACGCAGAAAATTCTATTGTTAACTGAACAATAGGGACATTGAGCCCACATTGTTTTTATCAGCGATACGGAAAAATCCAATAGAAGATGCAAAACGAACACTGCACTAGGTAACTGTAAAGGCGTGTTTACACGATGCGTGTGGGTCTTTAAACGTGCGAGTTCGAGGAAACGCCAGTTCCAAAATGCGGCTGCAACTGTTTTCATACCCACGTTCAAAGTTGGCAGATTTGGGTAGATTTCCACGTTTGGTGAACAGATGTTAATTAGTGGGTATTGCACAAAGTGGATTGGGAGCAATGTTTGACTTATAGAGCTCTAAATGCTTCGGCCAATAACTCTGTATTACTTTTACCATATGAGATAAGAGAGTTTTTGTAATATGTATAGCCTAGTTCGAAAAAAGTAAAGTTTGTTCGTAGCACCTTTTAGGAGCAATAAATCTTAAACTGATCCTAAAAATCACGATTTGCGCCGGTACCCACCGCGGTGCATCTAATTTATTGTTAACCTTATAGAGATTACCCAACCAAATTTATCAAATGTCAAGATTAAAATGCAATTTAATAAATCAGTCACCCTTTCTGGCAGCGATATAGAAAGTAAAACGGAAGACGGTAAATCGGATTCCGGACGCAACAAAAACGAAATTTCTAAACGTTTCCACGCTTAGTTGTGCTCCAAAATGAACTATTTACGCATCACTTGCACCTTTTTCTCCACTGACAACAAACTTTTCCAAGTTCGCGAACTTTAGTTCCGTTCTTTGTCTTCCTAGTGTACAAATCAATCAAAACACGTTGTCAGAGAAAGAATTTTAATTAGGTTTGTTTGAATGTGAACACGTTGAATTTTGCAACCTTCGGTGCAGTAAAATCGGATTTTTTATCAGTTGATTGATAATTTATGACAAGTGAGCGAAAAGGAGAGTTGTGTTAAAACAGAAAGTCAATGTCCCTCGAGGGCGCTTCATCCACACACATATAGAATAATTTCTCCACACTTGCGTCAAAATACCCGTACATGCGTAGACATAAATTATGATCAGGAGCAAGGAATTCTAATCAGTTCATTTGAATGATTATTGTAGTAACTAGTTATGTTTTGACTTGCATGACGACTTTCTTCTCGCCTTACAATTTACTTGGAATGCCACTCAAAGACAGATGTTGTATGGGTTGAGATAGAAATCAACCAATGACGCGATAAGAGAACAGTGGCCCAGATTGAAATATTAATCAAAGAGCGATTGCTCCCAATTATTGGGACTCCAGCCAAGGCTAAACTTAATAAGGCACAGTGTACGTTATATAATAAAATTAGTCGACCGTAGTATTGTAGCGGATTCGATTAATTTGAGGAATGTGTTTACTGTGATACAGGAAGAGTGTGAAGGAGACGAAAAATGACCGGCTTGGGTGTGTTTTGCCACTTTTTTCACAAACGCTATTAATTTCAGAGGGAATGGAATTAGAGAAAGAAATGCAGTCTTCTTCCAATACTGTCTCATTTGTTTCTATAGTGTCTCCAAAGGAATTTTGTTTTTGTGGCTTATTACTGGTTTCACATATTCACCAATGTTCTGGATAAATACAACAAAAATCGCGGATTCTTGCATATAAATAATATTTTGCTTCGTACTAGAGGTTTATTTATAGTGCAATCGCCAGAGAAAGCGATAGAACTACCGGAGATTATTTGTTACAAATAGTGTTGGTGTAATCGATAAGACATCTGAATTCTGGTATTTTTGTACACGTGCCTCGAGTGATTGTTGCTTAAATATGTACTCTTACTGGACTTCGGAGAGGGGGTTCCACATGGGTCGGTATTTGGACCAAGTTCGTTTTTATTGTAAATAAATGAAATAGAACATCCCACGTACAGATCTCACTTTATTTGCGAACATTTTAAACTATTCTTGTCTCTTGAGTTGGCTTACATACAAGGACAGAAGGCGCCTACTGCTAAAGATATATAAGCTTCTACTACGTATGTTGGTCCGCAATATCATACTGAGTATGATAAGGAACAAATTTCTTTGTCTCCCTTATAGAAACACACCTGCAAAATTCGTGATATTCTTGGAAGCGTTTACTGTCAGTTGCAAGATTTATATTCTTCAAATGAGAGTGTAATTTACCAAAGATTATCACATAAGTAACTAATCAGCGCTACTAACGACGTTAGATCTTAAATTACTTCTAATCGTCTTTTTCTTTCCAGGAGTCAATCTAAGGCCTCCTACCTTGCCTCTCGCCGCGACCGAGACCGCATCGTCCCCGATTCAGACACCGGAAGCTACAAACGCACCATGTCACCCAACGGCCATACCATTAACGAACCCATCCCCGAACCAGCACCTCAGAAAGAATCCATTTGGTCTCTCAACCGTTCCAGCAAAGACATGATCAAAAACAACAACAACACTAACCTCCTGCGACGATCTTCCATGAACGACAAATCCAAAAAAGCCCAAATACATGACAAAAAATGTGAGGAAAAACAAGACAAGGTAGTCCTACCCGACGTTCTGCCAGTGAATGCGAAAATGCTCAGTGCACGATCTCAACAATATAATCGACCAACGAATTTGAATTTAGTGGAAAACGGAATGAAGAAACATTCACCCCCTGAGTCGCCCTCGAAAACGCCTCCCAGAGGGTCACCATTTGCGCCGCTACGGTCTACGAGTCTGTCCAATCCGCCATTATTAGCGTCGTATATTAAACCCGTGACTCCGAACGAATCTCCACCTTCACCAAAAATTAAACCGTCGTTGTCTCCTAGTTCTCCTTCGAAGTTGTCTCCGTTGCGAACTTCACCTGCTATGTCTTCTCATACGAATAGTCCTATACAAACTTCTTTTCTCAATTCATCGAACGCGAATAGTCCTATACAAACTCCTTTGACTGCCTCTAGTGCGAATAGTCCTGTACAAACTTCACCTCTTAGTTCTCCTAATTGTTCTCCTAAACCGTCGTCTCCCGAAATTTCACCCCCTCCTACACCGTATAAGACGGAAGAGTGTCCGAAAGTGATCGAGGGTTTGCAGCTGATTCAAAGGACTGAGGTAGTGTTACGAGTGAACACTTCGACAACTGACGCTGCTATTCAGACGGAGAAAGATGAGCTGCCTCCGACTCCTTTACCTACTAGGAAGAAGTTGCAGGAAGAGATAGAGTGTGAGAAGTTGAGCGAGGAACTCGTCAATCATCTGCCGACATCTGATAGGTTAAAGGAACTTTTGGGTAAATCTTAAATATTTGTGGCTTAACGGGATTCTAATTCTAATTCTGATTATAGTACCCGGACCAGAGCACAAAAAACCGACGGATTACGTCCAAGGGCTGTTCAAGGTAGAAGTAACATCGAGACCGAGGCCAACAAACTCACCATTTAGAAGTAGGAATAATACTCCTAGTAGTAGTCCACCACCTACTTCCTCTACTCCAATTAGTACCACTACAACCTCATCGAAAATAAGGTACGTGATACCTCTTTGAGATGTCAATTTGTGTTAACCTTGTCATTTTACAGCTCGACCACGTCCCCAATGAGTTCCTTAGTTGAACCCACAAGCCCATTGTCCGGTTCTTCAACTTACTTTACAATCTCAGAACCAAAAGCAAAGTTTTTAACTAGGTATAGTCAAGACATGAGCCAATGTCACATCGTCAAAGATACCAAAGATCTCAACATAAAAAAGGTAACGAGTTAACTTATCATTCTTGTTGGCATACTGATTCGTGGTTTCAGGAAGAGTTAGTGAACCGTTTAGACCGCAAATTGGAAGTTTTACGTTCGGAACAATTGGTGGTAACTGAAGAGTGCAAAATTAACGACGAGCTTGGAGAAAACGTGGAAGCTCATATCAGAAGATTGGCAAGGCCGCACGAGGCAGATAAATTCAGGCTTCACATTGAAGAAGTCGGCAAAATCACAAGTCTTCTTCTTGGTTTGTCTGGAAGGCTAGCAAGGGCGGAAAATGCCTTAATGGGAATGCCTGAGGATCATCCCGAACGAGTACGTTTTGATAATGTCTTAGTCGACGTGTGTTAATAACTATTTTTTGCAGAGAATTTTGGAAAGTAAACGCGACAAGCTCCTGGAGCAACTAGAAGAAGCCAAGAAGTTGAAAGAGTGCATCGATCGTCGTAGCGTTAGCGTTTCAAACATTCTCTACAAGTACTTGAACTCGGAAGAATACACCGACTATGACCACTTCATTAACATGAAGGCGAAATTGATAATGGACTCGAAGGAAATTGCAGACAAAATTAAATTGGGAGAGGAGCAACTGCTAGCCTTAAAAGAGACATTAATCGTCGCAGACTGACCGCGTAACTGTATTTTGTTAAGTTGTATGTGTAAAGTATGCTTAACCATTCGAGTTTTATCGAATGTGCCTAGTCCATTGACATTTCCTTCGCTCTTAAGTCCCGGTTACAAAACGGAGATTTTGTGTAATATAAAACATGATGTATTTTAGATGAAATGTTTTTTTAGTTTATGGTAAATTTAAGTTATCAAATTAGTTGTGGTACTTATTAATTTTGTGGTATTTCGAATATTTCGTTGCAGTTTGTGTCGATTTATTTGACAATACCATGTTGTAGGGTGTACCTCGCAATATCTACTTAGAGCTTGAGTCGGTAGATTTGACTGCTTGAGTCGAGTTGATGTCTCTTACCATTTTCACAAATGGCTATGATGACGTCACTAGAGCAGAATAGGCTGTTACGTTGTGCATTTTTCATATTTAGTTGAAAACATAATTATAAGTGCAAATATGGTAATCGTATGAATGAGGAAGCCCCAACAATATTTACAGCGATTCATCTACCCAGTTTTATACTTTTGTTAATTTATTGTCTCCTTCTTTAGTCACGTTTAATTCAAATTAAGTGCTGTGGATCTTGTAGGGTTGCCTTCTTTTATAAGATATTACCTAATACATCTTCCTACCAAGTATTTCATTGTATCTTAGGTGTACAAAAGTCAAAATTATAACCCATTGATTTTCTCTTTATCATAATGAGAGCAGTTGTATATATAAATGTATGTATTTAAAAATGAAATCGAAAGTGGTGCTCTGGAAATTTTTTATATTAAGTTATTGTTGTGATTTTCGTTTATATTGAAACTGAGTCGTGTGTATTTTTCTTACATATTTTTAATATACCATAAGTATGTTATTTACTTGCATACAAATTTAAATAGATTATTTTAAGCTTTATGCATCGCTTGCAATAAATAACTAAATAACGATTTTTTTTCGTATTTTATTTATTTCCACATACCAAACATCTTTTGTGTAATATGCAGTCTTGATTATTAACGATTTTGTAGAAACAGAATTTCGATATCCTTAGATGCTTATGTTTCATGAAATAAATTCACTCGTGAAACGACAAATAGAAAAATAAATTACGAAAGTTGTGGGAATGTATTTTGGGTTGCATATTCGACTTGGCAAGCAAAAAACCTGCTACAAAAGACGTAATTTAAATTCCTCCTGGTAGGTATAACACACACCATATCCTATACCCAAAAGACCTGCCGCATATTATACGCTCTACCCCGACTTCGCAAAGGTCAGCTATTACCAAACTTCCCCATCAAGTTTACAATTTAATTTCTGTTTCTGTTAGGATAAATTACGGGAGAGAAAAATCGTCAGATTTTACTAGAAACTGTTTATACCGCTTTCGCCATGTGATTTTGCGCTTTTATGTCAACAAAAATTCAAATCTTAAGTTCTTGAACTTAGAACGATGTATAACAAGTACCAGAGGATTACCAGAAAGGAAGCCAACAACAGTAATAACATTTAATCCATCAAGAATTTCAAACAAAAAAGAGTTCGCATGATGATCACGCATTAATTCAAATGATTTATTAAATCAAAAATGTGTTCACACATTAGATCGTCATAAATCGAAACTAAACCCCGTACTACATACACAAAGCACACATAAAATAAACACATAGAGCACAAGCTAAATGCAGTCAAAACCAACATAAGGTGACTGGCGATAGGTAAATGTACCTAAAAGGTAAGAAATACACACTTATTTGATATTTTAAACTAATCTTTTATTTTGCAGACAACAAATCATTCCAACAACAAACTATGAAGAAGCTTTCATCTACACAACTCATAATTTCAGTTGATAGGTGAGTTGCTGAGAACAGGTACTACTCGTAATTAATCCTTTGTTATTTTTTCCAGTACTACAGGTATCGCAAAAATGAGGGATATTACTGGTCGAAAGAAATATTTTTGCAAATATCCAGGGTGCAACAACTGATATTATACTCATATTTCTGGGGACTGTGTCAATAACTATTTCTTCACATTCCCAAAAGATCGTCAAAGCCTTGAACTTTGGAGGTGTGTTTGTGAAAAACGTTTAAATGCAGACGCTGTTCCCATTTCATTGGAAAATGAATGCTATCCTCTTATGGAACATCTTCCAGTTTCAAATGAAAGCAATCACACCAAAGTTTCTACTTGCAATCAGCCCTCAACACCTTCAGCCTTTTGTCCACTGCATGTCTCTCATTTGCAAGAAAACAATGAAAAAATAGTCGATTTTGCTTTTGGTGATCTTACCTTAGATGATGATAATTGTTGTACTGTTACAACGGATAGTCGTGCCCTTTATGTTTTCGAAGGGTATAATTATTTTGTTCAAGCGGCGAAAATTATAATTGTGATGTAAATTATCAAGATCATAATTATTCTATTTCTAGTTATGATGAAATCCCTGTGAGCAGTAATAAATTCGGTTTTTTAGATAATAATGAAAAAGGTAAAGATGGTCTATTATCAAATTCTATGTCTGCAAATGAATTAACTACCAGAAAGAAAGCAATGTATAAAATTCGTAGAAATATCCAGTCAAAATTATGTAAACTTAATAAACTTTTGGAACAAGAGAGAAATAAAGTTAAAACATTAGAAAAATAGTATGCATCTGGCAAATTTGAATTCATCAACTAATGTTTAAATTCTGTAACTAAAGAGTTCATTAATTCTTAATTGGAATGCTTTAAGAAAGCCTAATGCTAGAAGGTCTACAGATCAGGACAAAGCTTTTGAATTGTCATTGTACAAGAAACATTTAAGTATAAATCAGTATAAATATTTGCAAATTTATTTTCAAGTACCTTCTTCGAGCACACTAAAAGGCTTATTACCTACCTAATATTCAGAGTGATTCAAGCATTTTGAATCATTTAAAAAATCAAGTTTCGAAAATGAAAGCAGATGATCGTTTTTACTCACTGCTTTTTGATGAAGTGTCTGAGACAAGGATTTCATTATGAAAAGGTGAAAAATATAACTTATATGTATTATGAAGATTAAGGTTCTATTGGACAAACAAGGAAGCTAATCATGTACTTGTTTTCATGGTTCATTAGTATCATTAGACTTCAATAGAAACAAGTCATTGCATATTATTTCACCTCACACACTGTTTGAATAGCAACATGAAGAGATTTAAAATTTGGTTCATTTTTATTTACTTTTTGTATATAGTGCGTGGTACCATTTTTAAATTATCTGTTTTTATCTCGGTTAATCCATTTGTCATTTAGTTTTGTAGAATATTTTTGTTCATGTTTAGAAATATTTTTATTTTATGTTTTTAATTTTTTATTTATAGATTTCTTATTTTACGTTGTGCAATAAATATTTTATCAGATAAATAGGTATATATGTATACTCATTTTACAGAATCAGTGCGTTTTACTTCATATGCTAATGATCTTGTGTTGATCAGAAAGACTGGTCAATAGATTTGGACCAACCTTTTTACTTTGAAATTATTCGAAAAAAATGCAAAATGTACAATGACATCGCTCAATCTTTATTTTTCCCACACTTTATAAAATTTAAAACGTCCGCTTAACGTTTAGTTGGCCATCGTACCATCGGGAGCGCTGGGATTTTGTTGCCAGTAGTCTCCCTAGATCTAGGGACACTAGTTGCCAGTCAGTTGCCAATCATCAACAAGGGATTTTCACTTCTTGACATGAGTGTTTTGTGTCCATTACCAACTCGTAAACTAACAGCGAAGTCTTTCGTAATTTCGTAAAAGCTAAAGCATGGATGATGGCGTGCGCTATTGAAAGGACATTATTATAGATATTTCTTGTTTGGAGATTATGAATTCAGTTATTGTTGTGATAGTATTGTAATAACCCAAATTTCCCGCCTTTAAATGGACCTTGGCGGGAAGACGTTCTTTCATACAAGTGAGGACATACCGCATGTGAGTTGAGAGCGCAAGAAATAATAGACAAAATTAGGGAGGTCGAAATCCTTCCTTAGGAGGAAAAGACACAAAGAGCGAAAGTGACTCAGCGTGCCCTTCTGGTGACTCCGCAGGACCAAGGCGTTATCGGTCTTCATTCCCAAAAACCCCCTAGAGTTTTATTCACCGAAATATTACATTTCAAACACCTTAAGATTTAAGATATATGAAAGAAAACGCTCGCGAATTGACAGACATACACATAAGAAAAACGAACAAACGCAAAACTCTATACATCTGTTTGGAGTCAATGCAAATATTTGAATATCACAAATTTAATAAAACAAAGCAAAAACTGAATCAAGTAACTGGATGCAAATACACAAGTTATTACAGGCGTGTGGCGGCAGATCTTTTTTTTTTAAGTTACGGCAGTTAACACGAGCACAACAAAAGTACCCCTGGGGCGTTGTAGCATAAGCGGAATTTGGGGCTACCGGTCTGGAGCTGTTCTCCCCCCACGACGGCCATTCTACCTATCGCAAAGGATACTCGCACGCATATCTCCATTACGAACGTGCCCTGCGGAACTAGGCCATTACGGTCGCCAGACCCGCAAGAGAATCTAGGCTAGCACGAAGCCTAGAACTTTACAACATCAGCGGCCGCCCCTGAATCTATCCAAACCTGTGGACTTGCCAGCCCGACTAGGAACTGAACTTCGCTTCTGCCACGTTTTCTGTGTTATTTAACCTCAATTCCATTTTCTTAAATATTCAATCTCTTATAACTCTGATATTAACAACAACTAAACAAGTGTTAAAGTTTCAACGAGCAATAAACAACATTTAAATTTGCCATACAATCTTGTGAAAATTTAAGCAACAAATAATTCTTATGTGAGATAAAAATTGGACATAAAACAATTTATATGATAGAAACATTCATCAAAAAAGTATTTACAAAACAAACTTAGCAAGGATTTATGAAACAAAAGATCTGGTGTGAAATAAACTTGTACAAATAGAAATATTATGGGAACTTAAAACTGTAGAACATGAAATTTACGTTCAATTAAAATTATACAACAAATAAAATTACTGAAGTTAAAACTGTGAGATTGATGTGAAATATTGTATGAGGTGAAGATTTGCAGAGTTAACAAAATTTACATGAGATTAAGAATTGCCACACTTTTTCAATGATTCAAACAAAGAGCTTACATTATGTCAAATTATATCATGTTCTAAGTGATTGGTTACTTCAAAAAAACAATTTACTTTGAGAGTTTAAAATACCGCGAACTGGTTACCCCAACAAAACACATAATAAACAAACACAAAAATATCCAATCATCGCTCCGAGGGAAAAAGCGTCTCGGTGATGTAAATTTTAAAATCCTTGTGAGGAAAAAGCGTCTCGGTGATGTAAATTTTAAATCGTTGGGAGGGCATGCCTTGATAAATTAATCAATATGTAGCGTTGTGAGGGCATGCCTTGATAAATTAATCAATCTGTAGCGTTGTGATGGCATGTCTCGATGAATTAATCAATCTGTGATAACGATGATAACCGCCTAAGGGAAGAAAACATTTTAAACCCCTCCCGCCAGTTCGCAGTATAATGAACTATTAGCAATCTTGTGTGAAGAATTTAGAAGTGTTATAATGTAACACTTACGTATATGCATCTAGACACCTATTCGTAATTAAACAAGGTGTTTTTCCTGACTAAGTGAATTTCATGAAATCTTCTAGCAAATGGTTTATTTAAATAATCCTGATTGTTAAATTGTGTTTGCACTAGCTGACTATTAAGAAAAACTAACTTGATTGGTGAATTTACAAACTGAAACAAATTTACAGCACGTGTCTCGCGTCGACCAGAAGTCCGCATTTCTCCGATTAAGAGGGCGCAAGAATTAACCGCGCGGGTTGGGGACAACTGTGCCATTATGAAAGTTACGATTGATTGTCGTTAAACAAAGGGTTCCTCCCATTTTATTAACTA